GGTGTCCAAGAGGCGGTTGGGCAGCCGTCTGGCACAGCTGGCTTGACCTGCGGCCGGAGCTGGACTGGATGGTCCTGCAGGTCCTTCTGGCCCGCCTACTCCAGGATTCCAGGGTTTCTGGGTTTGGGGTTTTGATTTGTTTGAATGTTTGCGTTCCGGGCTGCCCTTTGCGCCTTTGGCTGTGCCCAGCACGGCATGCATCCACCGAGAGCATCTTCTAATCGGAATTCAGTCCCTGGGAAGGGACATCCCTGCGTAGTCCAGAGCTTTCCACTCCGGGACCCTTTCTCCACAGATCCAGGGGGAGCCCCTTGCCACCAGCTGCTCTCTCCACAGTGCCGTTCTCAAGCGGGGGCGCAGATCTGGCCCTCTGGAGGTCTCGGCCTGGCCGATGCCCTTTCCTGTGACCAGGGACCATTTGACGGCTGCCTGGCTCTCACGCAGTCTCTGCCCTCCCTCTCTTCCCCTGCATGAAAGGGTGGGAAGGCCTCTCCCCGAGCTTGCTCCTGGCAGGAACCCTTTCAGCCACTGCTGGCACCTTGGTCCACCCTTTCCCTTCGGCTCTCCCACCCCCGGAATGGGTTCCCAGAGGGCTTCTCCAGTGGAATTCGGCCCTTGAGCCACAAGAGGTTCTGCACCTCCTGCAGAACGGTCTCCCAACTGGCAATGCCGAAGGCTGAGCTGGTTTGCGGCTGCCTCGGCTCACTCTCTTGGGTGCCCTGCTGGGCGTTCAACCCATCCGAGTCGAACGCTCCGCCTGGCCCTTGCTCTCGCTGGAGGCGATCGGTGTGGTGGCCATGCTCTGCCCGTCCTCACCGAAAGCAACGGAGCGCAAATGAAGCAAGCCCAGGAAGCGACCGCAACCTGGGGGGGGGGGCAGTAAAGCCGGGGGCTTCGCATGTGGGGGTCCGGAAATCCCGGCCGGCACCCCCCATGTCTAAGGACAACGTAGGGGGTGGGATGCTGCTTCCTCAGTCTGAGGTGCTGTTAGTCAGAGCTGGAATACAGAGTGCAAAGGACAAACATCTGCATTTATGTATTCCTGCATCGATAGGGCGGTTTTCTTCTTTGCCAGGACCCAAAGTGGCTTGCGCAGTCCTCCTCTTCACTGGATCCGCTCAACAACCTGTGCGGCAGGTGAGGCGGAGGGGCCACGACAGCCCGAAGGCTTTCAGAGAGGCCCGTGGCTGCGTGGGGCCTGGAGCTGCTTCTCCCGAGAGTCAGTCCGGCGCTGTAAGCACCCAGCTGCACAGCCAGTGCAAGGATGATCCCGAAATATTCCTCTCTGCTTAGCGGGCCAGCCGTGCCCGGCAGTGGTGGCTCTATCAGCATTGGATGGCCATTGGATGGCGTTTTGGTGGCAGGGCCTGGACGCAAGCGCTGGCTGGATGCTTTGAAAGGGTCCCTGAACCCTGAGAGAATTCGTCCGTCCGTCTCTCTCTCTCTCTCTCTCTCTCTCTCTCTCTCTCTCTCTCTCTCTCTCTCTCTTTCTTTCTTTCTTTCTTTCTTTCTTTCTTTAAAGCTTTTATAACCATCCTCCACTGATGCCTCGGGATGGCGTTTATGAACTGCAGCTTGAGTTCTCCTTAGGGTTGCTTTACTTAATCCATGAATCCGGTGCTTCTCGGCTGGTTTTCCCCCAGCAACAGGGCTTCTTATGCGTTTGCAAAAGACTCAGCAAGGAAGGAGAGCGAGCAGCACACGATTCTGCCTTTGTTTACCTGGAAGTAAGCCCCCTTGGATTTGCTCCCAGTCTAAGGCTGCGGCCCAGTGCAGACTTGCCAAGGAGTAAGTTCCATTGAAGTCAGAGGGGCTTCCTTCTGAGCAAGCACTGGGAGGGTGCCGAATGCAAGAATCTTGCAGAGGAGCTGCTCTTAGGAGCTGCTGTTGCTCTGCAGACGCCATTTCCTCCCATGCTCTCTGCTCGGAACACCTAGTTTATGAGCCCCACAAAGAAATGCCGCAAGTGAGAAGGATCCACGGACCTATTTCATCAACAGGGTGCCTGCTCATAGTCAAATGTGCAAAACTAGGACAGGCTCTCACCAAGCACCAACTGCTGCGGAGGTTAATATTAGAAGGAGCGGAAATGCTTTTTTTCAAAGAGCAAACATGCAGCTGATGTAACAAGGAAGAGTCTGAGGTGAGACACCCTCTGACTGGAAGTACAAAATATTAGCGAAGTGTGAGAAAGTTACTTCTTGGGTGATCAGAGACCTATATATAGCTTATCATTAATGTGATGCCAAAGAAGGGAAGGGGGGGGGTGCTCGCAGCCTTGTTGTTACAGCAGTCACAAGTTACTTTGGACTGACTCCAGATGTGCTGGATGACAATTACCATCATCCCCAACCAACACGGCCAAGGGGTGTCTCTCCAGAAGACTTACAACTTCTTTTATGGAGCAGTTCTGTGCCAAGCAACTCAGAAATAAGCCAGCATCCGTGTCGTTGGCCTTGCTCTGAAACAGATGCAGGTACCGGATGGCAGCCCAGGATGGTGGCGGGGGCGAGACTAGGGAAAGAAGGCTGACCCGTCAGGAAGCAGGTGCTGAAATCCCCCAAGGGGTTGCCTGACATGCCTCCAGGTGTCATGGGATCGCACCTCACCTTGAAGCCCATATCCATGTTTCGAAACTGGAACCTGCAACACATCTCAGAATTTCCACATTTCCACTGAGTTTTTGGGCTGAATGAGAATTTCGACCCAGACCTTCCAAGTCGCAGTCCAACACTCAAACCTCTACACCAGACTGGCTCGCTCAAGTCACAGCTAACCTAAGTTCCACTGCTCCCAGTCAGATGAGGTGTGGAGCCCACCAGCTTAATTCATATCTCAAGTGCACAATCAAGAACAAGGCAGCATCTTCTGGGTTCTGCCCAGGGCTAGCGTGACCGAAGCCCCATTCATGTCATGTAGGACTAACGCTGGACCCAGGACAACGCCACTTGCGGGAATTCTGGCTCAGCTATCAAGTTACTGGGCAGTCACGCATCAATCATGATCTGTCAGTCTCTGTCCCTTGTCTGTAAAAGGGCGCCATAAGAATTTATCATGTAAAATGGAACCATAAGAATTTACAACCCATTTTTCTAAACAACATTAAAATAGAACTGATGCTGCTTGCATCACTTTCTAACGTTAGTCTGCAAACAAGTGACCTTCTGAGAGTTTTGAAACGCGAGATAAATCCTAAGCCTTTGAGGACCACAGGCACTTTCTTGGATTCCCATGAACTGCCTTCCCATGATCCTCCATCCCTTTTGACCCAATCATTGCCTTTGAAGGGAGAAAATTGCATGCATGCAAGAATGTCAGTGCTTGCCATCTAAACCCAGAGGACATGCGCACCAGGACTGGAAAAGCATTTGTGCATGAGGGATGGTTGATGAAGTCTTAAACTACAAGCTCCATAGTGCAGCGCAAGTGCGATTTTTTTATTTTTTTTAATGTGCATGTTGTAGGCCAGATTTTAGCTCTCCGGATGTTTCGGGCTTCAATTTCCAGAAGTCCCTGCCAGCAGGGCCAATGATCAGGAATGCTGGGAGCTGAAGTCCAAAACATTAGGAGAAACTTTCTGCTCACTCCTGTTGCAAACACATCTGATCCCACAGGCTGAATTCATAAGCAGAGTTTGCCTCAGAAATCCATTCCCTGGGAGCTGGTTAACTGCCAGCTACCAGGACCACTGTCCTTGTGAGCATGGTGCTCTACCTAGCATTAAATAAACAGGGTCTACTGAAACTAGCAATTTCTGGCAGAATACAGGCAAGATACCTCCTGCAAAACAACAAGGCTTTGCTCGAAAGGGATGGGTTTTTCCTGTTCTTTTGCAGAGCAAATTTGTTTTGGAAAATCAGTTCTTCCTCTCACAGATGCAGAGCCGAATGCAAACATGCCAGATATTAGTTTTTAACGGAATCAAATAACATGCTGCAAACAGACGAGGGAATTGTGCAGACCTCTGGACAGTGCGATATTTTCAGCGCTTTATCCACACTGGTGCATCCAGCAGGCCCCCTCTGGCCCTCTTGCCTGGTGCAGTTCATATTTCCAGCCCCCGGTTTGCAATATCGATATGCAGCCGGGGCTCCTCTCGCACTCGCTACAGCTTGTGGGACTCAGTAAATCGCCCGCCCGATGCCCGACTTGGCATTTCGTGATGATCGCAGGTCCTTTATCCACTGGTCAGCATCTTCTCCCCACCACCCCGTTTTAAGAGTTGTGCATTAAATAACTGAGCTGTACAACCCCGCCCAAATTCCACCCTTTAAAAAAACACAACTTAATCGATGCTAACACAGCGATCATGGATTTTTATCTCTGCAACTCACAATAAGGAAGGGAAGGGGGGGCATCGGGATGGGAGGGAGCCACTTGTTATTCTCGGGGGGGGGGGGCAGCGGTAGGAGTCTCCTCTGAAGAGAAAAGCCGCTTCCTTGTTCCACACACATGGCGAGCTGGATCCCATGCCATGGCAAATGGCCAGGGAAGACGGGGTGGGGGCGGGGAGCGCGCCCTCCTCGCCAGATGCAGGCTCTGCAGAAGCGGAAGGGGCCACGGATGATGGCAGCCCGGCTGTGCCAGGCTGGGGACCAGGCAGCCGCGGCTCGCTGGCAGGCGGGCAGGATGGACCCCGGAGCCACCGCGTCCGGAGGCTCTGCTGGAAGGCCGGGGGCGCGGGGATGGGGGGGGGGGGCAGGCGCGCGCCGCCCCCCGCAGACTCGCTTCCCTTGGCGCGGCGCCTGCCTCACCTCTTGCGGCTCCTCCGGGGGGCGGGCGGCCCGGCCTGGCGAGCGGCTCCCGGATCCTCCCGGCCGCCCACCCGCCCGCGAGAGGGGCGAAGGGGCGCGGCGGGGGTCCGCGGAGGGGAGGGGAGGGAGGGGAAGGGGGGCCGCGCGCGGAGGCGCCCGGCGGGGCCGCGAGGCGCAAGGCACGGCGCTCGGGGAGGCGCCGCCGGGCGGGTCCGCGGCGAGCGAGGCCGGGGCGCGCAGCCTTACCTTCGGCGCTGCTCGGCGGCTGGTCCGGCGCCGTCCCGCTGGGCGAGTCCGCGGAAGCCGGCGCTCGCAGGCGGCGCGCCGGCCGGCCGCCCCGCGCCGCCGTGCTCGCCCGCCTCTCGGCTCAGCGCTCGCCCCCGGCCGCCGGGCTCCTGCGAAGAGACGGCGCGAATGAGCGAGCGAGCGAGCGAGCAACGCCCGGGCTCCGGGCCACGCTTGCCGGGGAGGCGGGCGGCGGGAGCGCTCCGTCAGCAGCCGCGCCAGGCGGAGGGGAAGGCGGGCCGGCGAGCCGAGAGCCGCCCTCGCCAGCCCGGGCAGCCTCTGCCGCTCCCTCGCCCGGCCGGGCCGCGCTGCCGCGACCCCTTTGTTGGCTGGCAGGCGGGGAGGCGGGCGAGCCCGAGGGGGAGCCGGGCGAGGGGCGGGCGGGCGGGCGGTCTCGCTCCGGCACCCATCAGCGGGCTGCCAATCCGGGCGCCCCCGTATCCGAGGGAGCGGCGGAGGGGCGCGGGGCGCGCCGGTGGGAAGCGGCGGAGGGGGCGCGGAACCCCGCGCGAGGACCTCTCGGCGCCGCCGGGGAGGCTGCAGCTGCTCGGGAGGCTGAGAGCAGGCAGGGGCTTGGCACGGCTCCCACGCCCCCCCTCCATCGCCCCCCCCCGGGCTGGCCGCGCATTGTGCGGCATCACCTCCTCGGCTGCCGCGCCTTCCGCCGGGCACCCGCTGGCTGGCCGCGCTCGGAGCGGCGCAGGATAGGAGCCGCCGCCGCTCCTGCCGCCCTGTGCCAAGCCCCCATGCTTGGGGGAGCCGGGAGCCCCCCCTTCCGGAGAGACGGCCGATGCTCAGCCACAACACCCTCCCCTTCCTCGCCCACCTCCATCCCCGGAGCCAGGAGGGTGTGTTCCAGCCCGGCCCACCCAGCCCCCTCCGCAAGGTCACTGATCGCTCGGGGAGGGGGCGGTCGCCCAGCAGCAGCAATGCAGAGGTGGAAGCAGCCGCCCGGCTCCCTGACCGGGGAACCTGCCGGAGAAGCGCGGGGGATCCAGGCCCTCGCCCTCCCTGTCGTGCGGCCGGTGGCCCGGTGCACATGCTTTCCGGAGCCAGCGAGGCATTACCTGCCCCCGATTCGCGTGCACAAGCAGCTGTTGGACTCCAGGTTGCTGGGGAACATGCACCTGGAGCCTAGGTGTGACCCTCGTGCGCTCTTCCACACTTACCTCCATGTGGCGGAGCGAAACCTTCCACAAAACACACGGCTCTCAAGCCATAGGCAAGATGCCCACATGCTCGCCTGGCAGATGCACTTTTTTTCCTTTGAAATGTGGGATTCCAAGCTAAAATTCATGGCAGGGCCACTTTCTTTTGGGCATTGATCCTGCAACCCCCGCGGGGGGCCTCAATGTGTCGCCCTGCAGATGTGCAGGACCTCAGCATGTGTGGCCCCTCCAGCAGGCCTATTCAGCACATCTGGAGGGCTGTGAGTTTTGCCCTGCTGTGAAAGAGGGAGCGTCCAAACATGGATTGTCCAGGTTTTATGGACTCTCAATTGCTGAGAGGGAAAACCGAGCACACAAACCGAGCACAAATAATCTTGCAATTATTAAAAAAAAAAAAAAAAAGCACTTCCATGGAATTCAGCCGCGAACTTTAAGAGAGGTGATTTTAACACGGCAGAAGCATTTGAAATGTGGCGTTATGTATTTATTTTATTATATTTATATCCCACTTTTCTCCCATTGTGGAATTCAGGGTGGCCCCCCCTCCAAACTCAGGCAGGCCCTGACCAGCTCGGCTTCAACAGGGTGGATGCCTGGTGAGTCTTCGGACCAGGCTCTGGGACATCTCAGGACACCATGAATTTCCTGCGTTCCTTGACCGAACAAGATGCACTAAAGAGCACACTTTCAGATCAAGGGATGGTAAAACACAGAAAATGCAGAAACCTGGAGCGTTTTGGCCATATAATAAGAAATGGTAACTACATAATTGATTGCAGGAGGGAAAGAAGGGCAAGGAGGAGGTGGTGGTGGAGGAATTCTTGGCTGAAACTCCCTTAAGGCCGGGAGCAAAGCAGCCTCTGCGACCGGAGGAGCCCATTGAAAGACCCCTCTGGCTGGGACGATGCCTCGGGGAGAAGAAGAAAGAGGAGAACAGAAGCAACTTGGATTTTGCCTTTCTGCTTATCCATCATCACCTGGAACGTTTCTTCTCAAAGCAGATGCTGAACTCCCATCCCCCAAATGGGCCTTCGTTGGCCCTCCATATCAGTGCCTTTGGGGAATTTGGGTTTCAGAGCTGAGCCCCCTGTTTCGAACCAGAGGAAGTGCGAGACACTGCAAAGGTCCAGGGCACTGGCCTGCAGGGAAACAGCAGCAGCAGCAGCTGCAGCAGCAGCAGCAGCAGAATAGGCTGCCTCACACCATGTCGCAAAGCTGGCGTGCTCACCTTCCTCTCATCAAGGCCACCGTCTCCTCAGGACACATGGCTGTCAAGAGGAGGGGGGAAACATTTGCCTTCCAGGAACCTCAGCCCATGGGGGGCCACCATCTAACCCCCCCACCCCCGAGCCAAGGGTTGACAAGCAACATTGAATTTCGGAGGAGTTGCATTTAGTGGATCCCTCTCTGGCGATCCGTAGGTGAAGTGGGATAAAGATACTCACCGGAGCAGGTCCCGCGTGGAAGCGGGAAGGTGACCCTACCTGACCTGCTAGCCGTCAGGTGTGTTTTAAGTGCCATTCCCATCATCCTCAGCCGGTCCTGCTCTCCCTGTGGAGCGCCCATGAGGAGTGAGATGCGTGTGTTTGTGTGTGTGTGCTAATAAGACTCCCCTTATTTGCTGGAAAACCACCCCTGTAATGTGCAACAATGGGAGACACAATTAAAAGAAGTGAAAGATGAAAGGAGCCCCGTCTTGAAAGGGCTAAACTGAAAGGACACATCTTCACACCCTTCCTAAAGGCCAAGAAAGAGACTGCGGGGGAGGGGAGAGCGATCTGGTTCTCGCTGGAGGGCTTGCCGCACAGGGAGAGCTCTGCTGGACACCCCCAGCGCCCAGGCACCCCAGCACCCTCTTCACCCAGAGGCCCCGAGGGCTCTGAGGGCAGCAGGACTCCCCTGCCCATGTTCCCCAGCATCCTGCCTCGGATGCCCAAAGTAGCCTAGAGCCTTTGGGACCACAGCCACTGACTGCCTTCTCTTCCAGGAACTGGTCCAGCCCTCTTCTCAGGCGGCCATCATGGCATCCTCTGGCAGCGCAGAAGGACTGATTTCCCCGTGTCCTGAATCTCCCCCCATTCAGTTCCATGGGATGAACACTTTGGCTTCCAGGCAGGAAGCGGCTTCCCTTGCCCCCTTGTCCACACACGCCGCATTCTGCACGTCTCTGCCCTGTCCCCCTTCACCCGTCCTTTCATCCCTTGGCCACCCTTCTCCATCCCGAATCCTGCAGGGGGGCCTCAAGTCTGTGGGGCCCCCGTCCCACCACCTGCCTTGGAGCACACCTCCTCGTGCCCCCCCCGTGTCTCCTCCCCAGGTCCAGCGCCCTCCTCTTCCTTGTCTTTTTACAAATGTGGGTGTCCTTAGGAGACGGGCCCTCGAGTCACACACACTCTTTCCACTTATGAGTTAATGTATGCAAATATATGCATTTTCTTCTTTTGTTCTGTGAATCTGCGCTGTGGATCTCTTCCCTTGTTGGGCGTGGAGCAGTAGGGAGCACCGTGGTGACAGCCGGCCCAGGCTGGGAGAGGGCTGAGTCCCTTCCTGGCAGCTGTGCCCCTTCTGCAAGCCGGGTGATGATTTTTGGGGCTGGTGCTGCGGCTGTGGCGGCGAAATGGCCAAACAGCACCTATCTGCTCCTCTGTCTGTCTTCCATCTTTGCTTTTTACATTTGGGGTTTGCTTAGGGACTTGGCCTCCATCCCTAACCTTCATTTGTTTGTGGTTTCACTTGTCTTTTTGATGATAGATTCATTTTCCATGGTTGTGCTCTTCATTTCTATTTTCAGCATCTGGGGTGCGTGTGTGTAGATTCAGCCGGAACAATCTGTGCTATCTTATTTAAAAAAGAAAAAAGAAACAGTGAAAAAAAGCATTTGTGCTTTTCCTCGCTTGGGAAGGATTCGACCAGATGGGGCTTCCAAACTGCACGGGAGTCTGACAGAGCTCCGTTCCAGGCGGCCGAGCATGTGGAGGAGAGCTGGAGCCAGGCTCCCAGCAGGATGCAGCCTGGGGCAGCCCTGGGGCTGTGGGCCCAACGCACAGGAGCAGCCGGTGGCAGGCTGGGGCCTGGCAAGCGGGGAAGTCCAGGGACGCGGACTGGAGGGCGAGTGCGTGAAGAACCGTTAGCACTAGTGGAAAGAGGATTCGCCATTGCTCTGCGCCATCGAGACATTTATTTATTTTTATTTATTAAAACATTTTTATGCCGCCCCTTTCGCCAAAGCCTCGGGGCGGCTTACAACAATAAATTAGATTCACATGAATAAAAATTAAAATATATACATTAGAATAAAATAAGCCACCCTGGCCAGATAAAATTCAATAATATTAACATTTAGAATGCTGCTTAAATAAAAAAAATAAAAAGGTCTTCGCCTGGCGCCATGAATGGAGGCCCTCCAAAACGTCCTGCTCATGCCACCTCTCGGTGCCTGGTTAGCTTGACCCTTCCAGGAAGAGCATGTGAATGTGTGCTTACCTGTTCAGAGGAAGGGCATACCAGCCAGAAAGCATCGCCCTCGCTCCCAGTCGGCTTAGAAGGGCCGGCACGTGGCTCCGTCCTATTGCCCATGTGGAGTTCTGACACGGTTGTGCTCACTACTTCATCCCCACATTCCCAGGAGGAGAAAGCACCACATGCCTGTGTGTGCGCAGGCGTGCATGCGAGCGATGACGCTCCGGCGGGAATCTGGCATTCCATCTTTTGCACCTCCTCCTGCAAGCACCCCCCCCCAACAGAAGAACACAGCCCAGCTTTGCAGGCCCCTCTTTCTCCAGAGCAAGGTGAGGCAGCTTCTGCTAACCAGGAAACTATTTATAACTGCAGTGGGTGTGTGTTTGTGTGGGGGGAGGGGGCGAGAAACGTGGCGACCCGGGAGAGCGAGGCCGCCTGTTCTTTCTCCTTTCTGCAGCCGTGCAGGGCTTACTCTCCGTTAACTCCAGTGCACAGGGGAAGTGGGCCCCGGTTTGGATGGGGCCCTCCCACCTGCTCCCTGCTGCGTATCCTAGTCAAAATGCTATTCCTCCCCAGGTAAAAGTCCCCCAGGGCCACCAAGGGAGATGTACAAATATCCAAAGGTCGGCATCTTGGGCAATCTTGCAAGGGACAAACCGGTGCAAGGATCGGAAGGCAGTTTGTCCTTCCTTCCTGGCAAACTGCAGTCTCACAGCACCTCCCGGGCTGCTTGCTGCAGTCACGGAGGTTGGAGATGGAGCAGGAAGCCTGGACATCTGCGGAAGGGCCGCTGCCTGCCGCGGCTTGCACAGGTTGCTCCCAGGTTGGGGCGAGGTGTGTGTGGGGGGTGTGTGTATGTGGGGGGGAGGACAGACGCAGGAGCAGCCTGGTAGGGTTTGCTTGTCCCTGGTGTGCCAAGAGTGGGAGGGGGAGCCGCTTCTGCTTCACCCCACGTAGCTCAGTTAGGTGAGCAAGGAAGTGAGGAGGAAGAGGAGGGGGAAGCTCAGGCAGGCGGGGGCTGTTATTGAGGCTCACACCTACTCAGGGCACCCCTCAGGCAGTCGCTGGAGCCCCTACAGGGGGCCAAAATGACTTATTTCACTTCTATACCACCCAATAGCTGACCCCCCCCCCAGGGCCATTTCCCACAGTGCATAAAAGAAGGCGAGGAAACGCCTCTCTCGGGGGGGGGGGGCACACGGTGCGGGTGTGCTAATTTTGCACCCTTGTGGACTTTGCTGCCCGGTGGGACAACACGCGCACCGCTTCCGGCAGCCGTTTCACCTGCAGGCTGCCATGCTGCCCCACCTGGCGGCAGGTGAGGGAAAGTGCGGCATCCGGGACTCTTTAGCTGAGAGAAAAGACCAGGGAGGGGAGACGGGGCAGAGAGCGAGGATATGAAGAAAGCAGCCGGAGCTCTCTGTCTGTCTGTCTGTCTGCCTGTCTGTCTCCACGCCCCCCCCCACGCCCAGTAGCAGAACCCAGTGGGGTCACTCCATGGAGCTGCGGGGTGGGAGACTCAGGGTGGCCTGAAGACGGACTTTATC